CCACTACCACCTCTGATACTGCTGCTACCACTACCACTACTGCTGCCACTACCACTACTGCTGCCACTACTACTATTACTACTACTATTACTACTACTATTACTACTACTATTACTACTACTATTACTACTACTACTACTACTACTACTACTACTACTACTACTACTACTACTACTACTACTACTACTACTACTACTACTACTACTACTACTACTACTACTACTACTACTACTACTACTACTACTACTACTACTACTACTACTACTACTACTACTACTACCACCACCACCACCACCACCACCACCACTACTACTGCTGCTGTTGCCACTACTATAACCACCAATACCACCATCACTACTTACTGTCATGTTGATGAAAGTACGAGTCTGTCACTAAAGACAGACATGAAGTCTTACTGGCGTGCTGTAGAAAGTACTGTTCTGACACCTCAACCAAACTGACAACATGATGACCAGAGATTCACTGGACTAACCACAGCAAACAGCTGGTAGCCGACTACCTCACTTAGTACAGGCCTAGTTTAGCTTTTGGGCGAAAGGCAGCACAGTTGTCGCAGCCTATCACCACCACTACTACTATCACTAGTTATAGTTGTTGCGTATCCTTTACAGGACGTTGCAGAACCAACCTCAGCACTTTCTGGCTGTTGGGGGTTTTCTAGGCTAATTTACGTCCAGTAGTTTGTCATTGCTTACTGGACGGTCGGACTCTCGGTATCACGGTCGAAACCATCGAGAGATAAGCCTTCCGCAACAGGGATCGAACCCGGCACCCCCACATTACGAAGCGCGTTCGCAACGCCTAAGCCACAGACGCCGACACTACTATTACTACCACTACTACAAAAACCGCTACTACTACTACTAACATTACCACTATCACTACCACCACTACTACTGTTATATGCTGTAAATCATAGCACAGCGTGCCAGCTGTCCTTTCAAGAGAAGACAAAAGAGAAAGTATGCATCTACAATACACATTGACCTATAACTGTACAAAACATAAACTGTCATATATTCCCCGGGTCGATGATCTCAAAAACGTTTGTCTAAAAAGGGAAATGCCAAGGCATGGCACATGAAAACTTGGTTAGGCTGTGTTTTAATGTCCGAAGGTAGTGAGCCAACTCGGCAACACCTGTCGCCCTAGGCAAGGGAATAATATGGGGACAGACAACTGTATAACGCCGAACTAACCAGTGACATTGACTACCCGGCAGGTAGCTAGGTCTTGTACTACAAAGGAAAAGCCCTAAGTACAAAGAAAAAAAAAAAAAAAAATTCGTTCGTAGGTGGGGACTAGAAACATAAATATTCTAGCCCAGACAAGAAATCTTTTATGTACAGTCTTGATCAGCCAAGCAACAAATAAACTAGGCACACTAACCACAAGTCTTAATCTGAACAAAAAACAACTGGAACTATGATTACCACACTGAACATCTGTTTATTTAACTTAACATAAAATCAACGTTGTTCACAAATAACAACATTAACAACAATCAACGTGCTCTACCAGAATCTAAAGTGCTAAATCATCTCCAGCCTACAAGGAAATTTGATAATGACACCATACGCTCAGCGAGATTACGTCAACAATGGAAAAAACCGAAACATATTTAATATGTACGTTAAGCTTCATTATGACAACAAATCCCTTGTAGCGACCGCCATCAAACTATTTCCTAGCGAAGATGCATAATGGCAGTCAAATCTAACACCACCTAATCAAATGAAACATACCGTGAAATCAGCCAGGCAGCCGGCCTTCCCCTGCAGTCGCCCGTCCCCACGCTGTCTAGCCAATGTGCAGAGCAGCAACAGCTGGGTCGGTGTCCTGCGGGGACGGCCCGGAAGCCAAATAGACCGCTAAATGACTAAGCAAGGTCTTTTATTAATTGATGTCTGGCCAGGTTTCTTCGCGTTACCGTCTAAAACTAATAGCTGTCCCTGTGGTCTGTCACAGTATGTAGACAACTGTATAACACAAGAGCTAACCATGGGATATTGACCGGCCGGGGCTTTGACCTTACATTTTTAAACTGACAGAATGAGTGACCGTGTCCATCACACAGCTACCTATAAACTCTTTTTCTTCGTTACTGCCCCCCTCCCCCAATACCCCACACTCCATTCAGCAACCCCCTTTTAGCCCACCTATGAGTATTAGGTTATCATTATGTTCCATATCCTTGTAAAACGTCGCCTGGCTAATGAATCGAGTGCATGGTGCTGCAGTGTGAGCTGAGGACTTCATTTGGTTTCATTGTTGTCTGTGCCCAAAGTGGTCTGTGTGGAAAATTGTAGACTGAAAATATTTAAGAAAATGGCTTGTTGCTACAGAACTAGTGGTGCCTTATATGATTAAACGCAGGTGCAACTACTGACCTTTTGTAGCCGCTGCTTCGATCAATGAAGAACTGCATTTTTAGTGCCGGCCTGTTGGCCCTGGCACTTCTGACGGCCGCCTTGTGCATTTTTAATGTGCGTGTATGCTGTTGGATTTGTGTTAGTATTTCTACAAGGGGGCAGTGTGGATATTCTGTGCTGTGTGGCTCTAGGAACTGAACAACTATGAGGTGACCCGTTTGCTATGAAGCTGGACCTACCATTACCTGATGCTTGTAAGAGTCCGTACCTAGCTGTTACACCAAATCTGCTTGTGTATGAGGCGGACGTCATGTCTGTAAGCCAGTCCGTCTAAATGCTGTCTGTGAATGAATGTCTGTGTGTGTTTAAGTGTGGATGAGTACACAATTGCGCTGTGTATGGGAATCTTTTCCTGTGAATATTATTAATGCGATCAGTTTATGTGTGTGAGTATATCTGACAATAAGTAAGTGTGGGAGTGCATAAGCAGTGTGAGCGTAAGCACTCCTATTATCACCCTGAGCGTATCGTGTCTTGTTACAGACACGCCCCAGTGACAGTGGACACAAGAAACCGTTGAGAACACAGACTGGTGCTCCCAGATAAGCCTACTCTCAACATGTCAATCCTTACGGGAGTAACGCTGACCAGCTGCTTGCTGACCCTGTTCCTGGCTCCCACAGACGCTACCAACGGCAGCCTAACGACAACCCTGGGGTTACTACATGGAACCGTGGTTCAACACAACGGAACTAGAGTCAGTGTCTTCTACGGTATTCCGTACGCCAAACCTCCACTTGGAGACTTACGATTCAAAGTGAGTATGGTGTTTCCAAAAAGCCGCTTGTGTTATTTAATTCTCGTCTAGTTTCACTTGGATTAATTTTCTTTTAAAATAACTGTGTTGGTTATGTCTGTGGCTAAAGGTTGTTAATGTATTTCATAATCTCGTCACACCGGCGTTCAAAAGTCTACTGCAGGTGATCTGACAACAGGCCGATTTGTCAACACAACGGTTTGAGTATCCGTTGTGAAGAGAGCCTGCATCATGTTCTTACAGCATTCCTAATGTGGTTTCTGAGACGAATGCAAGAACATCATTATACAGAAATGAGGCAGTCCTCCTTGCGGTATACATGAAAGCAGTAACTTCAAGAAATAAACGTTAGAAGGCATTATTTCTGATCAGGGTATGGAAAAGTATAAACTCGGAAACTCGGTGAAATCTGGAAATATAGCAAGGGAAAAACAAAGAGATCATACAGGATGATTTGTCACATGACTGCCATAACCCCTGATTGCATACAGTTCATGTCATCTGAGGTTAGTTTAGTTGCGTATCCTTTACAGGACGTTGCAGAACCAACCCCAGCAGTCCCTGGCTGTTGTGTGGTTTCTCGAGGCAAATTTACGTCCAGTAGTTTTGTCATCCGAGAGGGTATCATAAAACAGGTGTTTTTCATCCCTGATCACAACCTGGCCTTTCCCTCATTCACTTCCTTGAGTCATTTTTTTTTAATCCTCACAATTCTTCGCTTACTCTCCTTTACTGCTCTGTCTGTCCTCAATGTTCCTATCACTTCTCAATATTTCCTCGTCATCCGTCTGTCCCCCCTCCCCCTTTTCCCCCCCCCCACCTGCTCCATTCTTCCTGATGTTGTCTCTCGTGTCGCTCTTGCTGGCGTGAGTATGAAGTGTCCAGTACTTGACTAAAACATTGCTCATTGACCAGCCCCCTGAAGCAGCTATGCCCTGGCAAGGAAGCAGACAGGCCAGCAGCCAACCAAACTCCTGCTGGCAGGCACGTGACACCAGCTACAACCGGGCTCCCAGAGTGGAGATGTGGAACGCAAACACTAACCTCAGGTAGGTCCAGTGTCTTCTGTAGGTCTAATGTCTGCTGTAGATCCAGTGTCTGCTGTAGATCCAGTGTCTGCTGTAGATCCAGTGTCTGCTGTAGGACCATGTCTGCTGTAGGTCTAGTGTCTGCTGTAGGTCTAGTGTCTGCTGTAGGTCTAGTGTCTGCTGTAGGTCTAGTGTCTGCTGTAGGTCTAGTGTCTGCTGTAGGTCTAGTGTCTGCTGTAGGTCTAGTGTCTGCTGTAGGTCCAGTGTCTGCTGTAGGTCCAGTGTCTGCTGTAGGTCCAGTGTCTGCTGTAGGTCCAGTGTCTGCTGTAGGTCTAGTGTTTGCTGTAAATCCAGTGTCTGCTGTAGGTCTAGTGTCTGCTGTAGGTCCAGTGTCTGCTGTAGGTCCAGTGTCTGCTGTAGGTCTAGTGTCTGCTGTAGGCCTAGTGTCTGCTGTAGATCCAGTGTCTGCTGTAGGATCATGTCTGCTGTAGGACCATGTCTGCTGTAGGTCCAGTGTCTGCTGTAGGTCTAGTGTCTGCTGTAGGTCTAGTGTCTGCTGTAAGTCTAGTGTCTGCTGTAGGTCTAGTGTCTGCTGTAGGTCTAGTGTCTGCTGTAGGTCTAGTGTCTGCTGTAGGTCTAGTGTCTGCTGTAGGTCTAGTGTCTGCTGTAGGTCTAGTGTCTGCTGTAGGTCTAGTGTCTGCTGTAGGTCTAGTGTCTGCTGTAGGTCCAGTGTCTGCTGTAGGTCTAGTGTCTGTTGTAGACCTAGTGTCTGCTGTAGGACCATGTCTGCTGTAGGTCCAGTGTCTGCTGTAGGTCCAGTGTCTGCTGTAGGTCCAGTGTCTGCTGTAGGACCATGTCTGCTGTAGGTCCAGTGTCTGCTGTAGGCCTAGTGTCTGCTGTAGGCCTAGTGTCTGCTGTAGGACCATGTCTGCTGTAGGACCATGTCTGCTGTAGGACCATGTCTGCTGTAGATCCAGTGTCTGCTGTAGGTCTAGTGTCTGCTGTAGGTCTAGTGTCTGCTGTAGGCCTAGTGTCTGCTGTAGGTCCAGTGTCTGCTGTAGGTCCAGTGTCTGCTGTAGGTCCAGTGTCTGCTGTAGGTCCAGTGTCTGCTGTAGGTCCAGTGTCTGCTGTAGGTCCAGTGTCTGCTGTAGGTCCAGTGTCTGCTGTAGGTCCAGTGTCTGCTGTAGGTCCAGTGTCTGCTGTAGGTCCAGTGTCTGCTGTAGGTCCAGTGTCTGCTGTAAGTCCAGTGTCTGCTGTAGGTCCAGTGTCTGCTGTAGGTCCAGTGTCTGCTGTAGGTCCAGTGTCTGCTGTAGGTCCAGTGTCTGCTGTAGGTCCAGTGTCTGCTGTAGGTCCAGTGTCTGCTGTAGGTCCAGTGTCTGCTGTAGGTCCAGTGTCTGCTGTAGGTCCAGTGTCTGCTGTAGGTCCAGTGTCTGCTGTAGGTCCAGTGTCTGCTGTAGGTCCAGTGTCTGCTGTAGGTCCAGTGTCTGCTGTAGCTCTTCCTTTAATAAGACACGTCGGCGTTCAGATCTGTTCCCTCCCTGTGTGGTTCACAACTAGAACGTCGAACAATGTGATCTCTGAAGGACTGGCTGTAGTCGGATGCATTGTGCCAGAGACGCCTCAGACAAAGACTCGATGTAAACATCAAAACTGCAACCGTCAAGAAAGAAAAAAAGAAAAGGAAAGAGGGAGGAAGAGAAATAATAATAGTAATAAAAAGATAAAGAAAAAAATAGGAGGAGAAGGAAGAAGGAAGAAGGAAAAAGGAAGAAGAAGAAAAAAGAAGAAGAAGAAAAAAGAAGAAGAAGAAAAAAGAAGAAGAAGAAAAAAGAAGAAGAAGAAAAAAGAAGAAGGAGGAGGAGTTGGTGGAGGAGGTAAAAAGTTTGGGTGGTGGGGGGAGAATGGAGAAACCTTTCTTGGTGAATAAATAAGTCTGCACTACACGGGGCTTTACTTGTCTGGTTTAGTCTCTATCTGGTGTCTGCCCGGGCCTCAAACAACGCACCAACGGCATTTAACTACGCCTTGACTAGTTGTTGCATAATGTAAACAACGGACCTGAAACTGGTTAAAGCTGTGTAAACAAACAACGGAAACTAGAGTACAAGTCAGCCGTACACAGCGCGCGGTCTACAAGAGTCATGGAACCTGCCTGCTAAACACTCCTGGCCGCAACCCCTAGAAGAATTAGGAGTCATGTTTAGAAGATCTCTTTGTCAGTTTTCGTTTAATAATAATCACATTGTTTCAAATATTTGTTGTGTTTGCGTTTACTGGCTAATAACTCCGGTGCAAAGACCTGGTTGTTCGTTCATTTCTGATCTTTGTTTCAGGACCTGAGTTTTGCATGTGCATCTGTTGTACAGATCTCACTTATTTGAATGCAGATTATTGTTTCCTTGCCTGTCAGGCAGATGCACTCCGACTTCAAATAAAGCTCCTATTTAGTTGACTCTTACGACATGCATGCTGGGGAGGCAGTGGTTCTATTCTTGTTTGCCCCCCTCCCCCTACAATGGGGACCCAGAATCCACGCGGGGGTCAAATATAGTATTATTATAATGTTTAACTTTTCAGGTTATTAAATTATTGGGCACTGAAGGTTTGGAAACCTAGAGCCACATCCGCGCTCCCCCCCCCCTTTTTACCTCTCGTTGCCCACGCCCCTGCTTTGTGTCGACACCGCTATCTATCTTATATTCGGCAGATGGTGGTTCAACACCAGCACATTAGTTCCCTATGTTTTCCATAATTGTTTGTTTGAAATCCACCACTTCAAACATCAACATATCAACTTGGACCGGAAATGGGAAGTGCAGAAAAATCTGCCACATGTAAACAGTCTCGCATTTCCACAAATGCTTGCGTTGCCGCTCTTGCTTCCGTCACTTCTTCTTCTTCCTCTCTTCCACCTTCTATCTCATCATAGTGTTGGGCGAGATGTAGCAGTCGTTGATGATCTCTGTCAAGAGCACATTTAGGACTGATGTTCATTTCTGTAAGGTTGTTCTTAATGCAATCATTCCATTTTTCTCGAGGTCTCTATACCCGTTGTAACGTTTTAGTGTGGCTCGCTGTGGCAGATAGTACCAGAGCATTCTTGTTAGGTGTCTAAGCCATTTCATTTGTTGTTCTTTGATGACCTCTAAGACTGGCTTTATTCCTAGCATTTGTCTGATTTCGTGATTTCCTATTCTGTCTTTCCTTGAAACTCTTGCAGCTCTTCTAGCGTATTTCATCTCTGTTGTCACAATTTTACGTTCATTGGAGGATTAAGTGTCCCCGTTTGGCACTGATAGCATAGTGTTGGCTAAAAAATATTTCTCATAAGATTCACTTTAGTACTCTGGGGTATCTGCTTGTGTGTCAACAGGGGAGACAGTTGCCCCAAGACTTGATTAGCTTTGGCACATCTCGAGGTAATTTCTCTGTCCAGTTTTCGGTCGGTTGTGAAAATTGCTTCCAAATACATACATCCCTCTGTTTGTCTTGAAGTTTTTTTTTTTTTAAATTGTATTTCCAAACTGTCTTTCCGTCTTCATATCACCACTGTCTCTGTCTTCGTGGTGTTTATTTTCATATTATATGCCTCCCCTTTGTTACTAATTTATTGAGTGGTTCTGTAGGCATTCCGTACTTTTGCTATGAGTACATGGTGGTCGCGGAATAGTAATTCTGTTACATCTTCTTCGTGATTAAAATTCGTTTTCTTACATTGAGTATCCATGCATACTATAAGTGGCTGTAGTACACAGCCCTGTTCACTATAAAAGTTCTTGACAATCCTGAGTTTGCTCTTATACAGCCTTTACTACGCGTGTACAGGTTTTTGCAAATATTAATGAGATGATTGCTGATTCCCCTTTCACCAGACACTCCCACAGCAGATTCCTGTCGACTTTATCCAAGTCTTTTTCTGGGTTTTCGTCACTGCTCATGAAAATTGCAATAATATTCAGCTATATTTGTAAACTATCTTCTTCTTCTGTCTTCTTCTTTCTACCCCCCAATGGAGCATAGGCCCTGAACCAACTTACGCCAAGTCGTTCTATCCTTCGCCATTACATGGAGCTCACCCCATGTCCTCCCTATCTTTCTAACTTCATTCTCTAGCTCACTTATCCATGTGTTTTTTGGCCTACCTTTATTTCTAGGCCCCTGTGGGTTTTTGGACATTCTAGTTATGCTATTCCTGTTTGCCTCAGTGTGTTCCACTTTTACTCACCTCTTGGTCCACTGGAGCCTGTTTAGTTCTCACAGCTGTACATTAGTTATTCTATCATACCATTTAATTCCCTTTATTCTGCGCAGGCACCAGTTAATGAATGTCTGTAATTTATTAGTAACTGCCTTAGTTGTTTCTCCATGTTTCCGCCCCTTACAAAAGTACTGATTTGACATTAGAACTAAAACATTTTAGTTTAGTATTTCTTTTAATTTCTTTTGACCTCCACAAATTCCCTTAGTGCTATGAAAACTCCTCTTGCCTTTTGTGTTCTTATTTTAATATCTCTATCAGTTCCTCCATCTTTATTTTGTAAATCAAAGGCTCCAGTAAACACATGATGGGATCTTCACCGGTGCTGGGTGTTCGTGCACACAGCGAGGTTATCAAGCTGTGATCTTGAGGATGGTGTAGACCTTTTGGATTATTGCAATGCGACAAACACTCTCCTAACATGCGACCAATTTTTGAATCTATCGTCTTGTCAACATCCAGAGAGCAGGATCGTATCAAACTACTGACAGTTGCTGAACGCTTGAGAGGTCGTGTCTGGTGTAGAGTTGACGGCCACGGGGTTTCCCCAAAAGCAGTGGCTCTCAACCTTCCTAATTCTGCGACCATTTAAAACAATTCCGCATGTTGTGACGACCCCCAGCCCCATACAATTATTAATTATTTGCGACCCACAAAAAGGTCGCTACCCACGGGTAAAAAAAAAGTAAAGTCAGGAGATGTGAGCCAGCGTCTTTGCACACGGTTTTAAACCAATGTGCTCTGCCACCAGTACGGACAGCTGATAAGGTCCGCACGAAACATTGCTGCCATAGTGACGTTCCTCCATTTACCCCAGAGTGTTAACTCTGGTACCCAATGCCTAGAAGATAGGTGAACCTCGGGAACCGCCTGGTTTCAAACACCGGTCGTGGGCTGCAGCGAGTCGCAGCTGGATTTGAAAGCGAGTCTCCTATCGACTGCGCTATCGCGGCCTCAGCTACCCACAGGTTGAGAACTTCTGCCCTAAACAAATGTGACAGTAAACAAAGAAACACGATATTCAGAGAAAACAAATTAACATGAACATCCAAGATGATGTTACAGAAACAAAACTAAGGCAACGGATTGGCTACTGCAGCTACACAATGCCGTCAGACTACATGCACGACCAAACAGTTCACAGTATTTCTAAGACAGACTTATGTCTAACATTCGCAACAATACATAGACAGGCAGAGAAACAAACATGGGAGACGCAGACCAATGGTAGACGCCCAGAGAGGCTACAGCTAGAAAGGCTACAGTTAGAAAAGCCACAGATAGAAAGACGACAGATAGAAAGGCGACAGATAGAAAGGCGACAGATAGAAATGCGACAGAAAAAGAGACGATAGTCGCAAGGATAGAATTCGGTATGCAAGAAAAGAATACACTATTCACGGACAGAATACGCTATGCACAGACAGAATACGCTATGCACGGACAGAATACGCTATGCACGGACAGAATTCGCTATGCACGGATAGAATACGCTATGCACGGATAGAATACGCTATGCACGGACAGAATACGCTATGCACGGATAGAATACGCTATGCACGGACAGAATACGCTATGCACGGACAGAATTCGCTATGCACGGACAGAATTCGCTATGCACGGATAGAATACGGACAGAATACGCTATGCACGGACAGAATACGCTATGCACGGACAGAATTCGCTATGCACGGATAGAATACGCTATGCACGGACAGAATACGCTATGCACGGACAGAATACGCTATGCACGGACAGAATACGCTATGCACGGATAGAATACGCTATGCACGGACAGAATACGCTATGCACGGACAGAATTCGCTATGCACGGATAGAATACGCTATGCACGGACAGAATACGCTATGCACGGACAGAATTCGCTATGCACGGACAGAATTCGCTATGCACGGATAGAATACGCTATGCACGGATAGAATACGCTATGCACGGATAGAATACGCTATGCACGGACAGAATACACTATTCACGGACAGAATTCGCTATGCACGGACAGAATACGCTATTCACGGACAGAATACGCTATGCACGGACAGAATTCGCTATGCACGGACAGAATACGCTATGCACGGATAGAATACGCTATGCACGGACAGAATTCGCTATGCACGGATAGAATACGCTATGCACGGATAGAATACGCTATGCACGGATAGAATACGCTATGCACGGACAGAATACACTATTCACGGACAGAATTCGCTATGCACGGACAGAATACGCTATTCACGGACAGAATACGCTATGCACGGACAGAATTCGCTATGCACGGACAGAATACGCTATGCACGGATAGAATACGCTATGCACGGATAGAATACTCTATGCACGGATAGAATACGCTATTCACGGACAGAATTCGCTATGCACGGATAGAATTCGCTATGCACGGACAGAATTCGCTATGCACGGACAGAATACGCTATGCACGGACAGAATACGCTATGCACGGATAGAATACGCTATGCACGGACAGAATACGCTATGCACGGACAGAATACGCTATGCACGGATAGAATTCGCTATGCACGGACAGAATACGCTATGCACGGACAGAATACGCTATGCACGGATAGAATTCGCTATGCACGGACAGAATACGCTATTCACGGACAGAATACGCTATGCACGGACAGAATACGCTATACATGGACATAATACGCTATCCACGGATGACATATATTTACAGACAAACATGGCATACAACATACAGACATAATCCTGTCTGACTGGCAAACAAACACGCTAAACTAGCGATAGGCGCACAGATTCCATGTAATTGTGTGTATGAGAGTGGGAGAATGGGAAAGGAGCGAGAGAAACGAAACAAACAACAGAGAGAGAGAGAGAGAGAGAGAGAGAGAGAGAGAGAGAGAGAGAGAGAAGAATGGCTGATTGATGATTTTAGAAATGCAGTAAGTATTAAACTATTTAACAAATCTATCCAATCAGTGAGGACTGTCTATATTTAAACACGTGGATCCCGGAAACGGCGGGGGTCAAGGCCGTGTTGGTGTGGATCTACGGCGGAGGATTCTGGGGCGGCACTTCCACACTAGACATCTACAATGGCCTGGCATTGGCCGCTAGAAACAACGTCATTGTTGTATCCTTCAACTACAGGTGGGTCCAGCAAATCCGCGCGAATCAATCGATGGTTGAATGGATGGATCCATGTTTATGTTATAAAGTCTGTATGTCATGTCATGTCTGTGTCTGTCATTGGTGAATTTTCTGCATACCAGTCCGCTGTCCACACACCGACCCGTCTGTTATCTACACACCAACCCGTCTGTTATCCACACACCGACCCGTCTGTTATCCACACACCGACCCGTCTACTGTCCACACACCGACCCGTCTACTGTCCACACACCGACCCGTCTGCTGACCACACACCGACCCGTCTACTGTCCACACACCGACCCGTCTACTGTCCACACACCGACCCGTCTGCTGTCCACACACCGACCCGTCTACTGTCCACACACCGACCCATCTGCTGTCCACACACCGACCCGTCTGTTATCCACACACCGACCCGTCTACTGTCCACACACCGACCCGTCTGTTATCCACACACCGACCCGTCTGCTGACCACACACCGACCCGTCTACTGTCCACACACCGACCCGTCTGCTGTCCACACACCGACCCGTCTGCTGTCCACACACCGACCCATCTGTTGTCCACACACCGACCCATCTGCTGTCCACACACCGACCCATCTGCTGTCCACACACCGACCCGTCTACTGTCCACACACCGACCCATCTGCTGTCCACACACCGACCCATCTGCTGTCCACACACCGACCCATCTGCTGTCCACACACCGACCCATCTGCTGTCCACACACCGACCCATCTGCTGTCCACACACCGACCCATCTGCTGTCCACACACCGACCCATCTGCTGTCCACACACCGACCCATCTGCTGTCCACACACCGACCCATCTGCTGTCCACACACCGACCCATCTGCTGTCCACACACCGACCCATCTGCTGTCCAGTTGCTGTCTTTCGTCTGTCGTGGTGCCTACCTAGCTAGCTACTATAGTGACGTCTGTCGTGTTTGTTCCCCTCTTCTTCTTTATCGCCTTAGTTAATAAACACTGTGCCACTACTTCAATGATTTGGAGAATCCTGTTCGTGGACTAGAACACAGACCTGATCCGTGATCGTGGGACAGCGTGAGCGATGAACCGCTTGATCAGTATGGCACGTGATGATGATAGCGGTGAACATCAAAGAGGCCGAAGAAGCAAACAACAGTGCAAAACAATATACAATTGTGCTGAATTACTACAGGCGATCTGAAATAAGGAGATGGCACATGATGGTGATGATGGTCGATTGAACACAGCACTATCAGCAAACAAGAATTGGTCTAGACTCTCACTTGTGCTCAATGTGTACTGTTTCAGGGTTGGCCCGTTTGGCTTTCTGTATTGTGGTACACCTGACTGCCCTGGCAATGTTGGACTTCTGGACCAAGTTTTGGCGCTAAAGGTAAATATACAATGACTGGATGTAGCGTACGAAAGGAGGAGACAGACGAACAGCTCATATACATGCAGGGGCCTAAGAACGGGGTGGGTTTGGACCGCACCGGGTACGCCACAAATATACACGTCAACTGCAAGAAATCACATTCAGGCAGATTCAGAGATTAAATATCTCCTCACAACCAGACTTTCTACATACGTCATTTTCCTTTAATTGTTAAAGTTCGAGGGTTTAATAGTCGCATTTTATTGTTTGCTTGCCGTGAAACTGGCGCAGATCAAATCAATTTACCGGCTGTTGACGCATGAAACCACGTACCAAGGTACTCTTAGACATTTGCCCATTATCTGTAGTCGGTGATTTATTTTGAAACCATGACCTTTTTGCACTGCTCGTGCCATACATAATGTGGCAATCCGCCACGGCCGACTCTGATATAAATGAAGCAGGAAACCGACAGACTCGAGGCTTGCTAGGGTCGCTTGTCCTTGGTGAAACATAGATGTGGTGAAGGCCCTCTGGGAGCAAGAGAACAATGAGGAGGTATGAATAGATCAATATGGTCTGAAAAGAATGCTGCAGACGGAAGTGACTATGGGAGGTGGTCGACTCCCTGCACTCAGAAGAAAGGCAATATGAAAATATAATCTAAATATTGCTGGCACCATCGAAATTCTATCTCGCTGGCTGCTGAAGATAAGGATAGAGCGTTTATGGGAAAGTCCCGAGTGCTGTGACGTTAGTTCTCAGATCAACAATCTGAGCTTTTCTGGTCCTAGCCGACAAAATAAACATCAATTTTTTTTACGTAAAACATTTTTTGAAGCAGTCGTTTAATATCAAACATGTCACATACAAGAGGGTGAGTTAGAATCCCACAGTTGGACTCGACGCTTTAGTCAGTTCCAAAGATATCTGGTCTAATGATGCCCATGAAATCAACACAATGTATGGAGGAAACATCACTTAAACTAGCCGTTTTCTCAGCAGGTCTGTGAGTGATGGGTGGCAAATCCTATCTCAACTGTTGCTTCTGTCTGTTGTCCAGACTGCTCAAGGACTCTCCGCGCTCGAATTGGACTCATCGGTCATCTGCGTACTCACAGTCATTGATCATTATTACATTTGGATGCGAAGGGGTCTGCACTACCTGTGATCAACGAACAACACACACCACAGATGTGAACTTCCAGTACCAGTATTGCACACCCTGCTGGTTTCTGAGCTTGCCGTGAGGGTAGGTGATGTCTCGCTGGGATATTGGCAAACTCTGGACAAGGCACCAGCTGTCCATCAATGTGTGGCACTTCAGCGGAAACGTTTCCCGACTCGGCTGCCAGGCGACAATTTTGGTTTTAACTAGTGTTTCTCAAACTTTTTTTTTTGTCGCGACGCCTGTGAATATTCACGGCATATTAGTGAATTTCACGGCGCCCCTGTGAATAGTTCACGGCGCCCCTGTGAATAGTTCACGGCGCCCCTGTGAATAGTTCACGGCACCCCTGTGAATAGTTCACGGCGCCCCTGTGAATAGTTCACGGCGCCCCTGTGAATAGTTCACGGCACCCCTGTGAATAGTTCACGGCACCCCTGTGAATAGTTCACGGCACCCCTGTGAATAGTTCACGGCGCTCCTGTGAATAGTTCACGGCGCCCCTGTGAATAGTTCACGGCGCCCCTGTGAATAGTTTGTAAATCGAATATTTCGCGGCGCTCCTGTGAATAGTTCACGGCTCCCCTGTGAATAGTTCACGGCTCCCCTATGAATAGTTCACGGCTCCCCTGTGAATAGTTCACGGCTCCCCTGTGAATAGTTCACGGCTCCCCTATGAATAGTTCACGGCTCCCCTGTGAATAGTTCACGGCTCCCCTGTGAATAGTTCACGGCGCCCCTGTGAATAGTTCACGGCACCCCTGTGAATAGTTCACGGCGCCCCTGTGAATAGTTCACGGCACCCCTGTGAATAGGTCGCAACTCCCCTGTGAATAGTTCACGGCGCCCCTGTGAATAGTTCACGGCACCCCTGTGAATAGGTCACAACTCCCCTGTGATCGCGGCGCACCCCAATGAATGGGTCGCGCCTCCCCGGGGCGATGTGGCGCACAGTTTGGGAATTGCTGATTGAAAGAATGAAGGGGCTGGGGTCGGATGGGTTGGACTAAAGGACACAGATACTTCTCATCAAGTCGTGGCAACTCCATTTTTACAGCGGATGCAGAAGAAATGTATCGTCAAGAGAATTCACCTTCTCCTTCTTCACTGGTCCTCTTCTGTCTTTCCGCGTCAGGTTTTGCAGAAGCATCGGGAGAGAGAGCCTTGTTATGTGATACGCAGATGCGGGTATTTACAGCCTCCTGCTTTTCTTTCAATTCATCTCTTGCATGGTCAACCTCTAGTTGCTTCCATTACTTCCAAGCGATAGGGTGGGGTACTATCTGGTTATAGTTGCTGAATTCTGAGATACATGTATAGTGTCAGATGTGTGGTGTTCTGAGATGCATGTGTAGTCAGATGTGTGGTGTTCTGAGATACATGTATAGTGTCAGATGTGTGGTGTTCTGAGATACATGTATAGTGTCAGATGTGTGGTGTTCTGAGATACATGTATAGTGTCAGATGTGTGGTGTTCTGAGATACATGTGTAGTCAGATGTGTGGTGTTCTGAGATACATGTATAGTGTCAGATGTGTGGTGTTCTGAGATACATGTATAGTGTCAGATGTGTAGTGTTCTGAGATGCATGTGTAGTCATATGTGTGGTGTTCTGAGATACATGTATAGTGTCAGATGTGTGGTGTTCTGAGATGCATGTGTAGTCAGATGAATGGTGTTCTGAGATACATGTATAGTGTCAGATGAATGGTGTTCTGAGATACATGTATAGTGTCAGATGTGTGGTGTTCTGAGATACATGTATAGTGTCAGATGAATGGTGTTCTGAGATACATGTATAGTTCAGATGTGTGGTGTTCTGAGATACATGTATAGTGTCAGATGTGTGGTGTTCTGAGATACATGTATAGTGTCAGATGTGTGGTGTTCTGAGATACATGTATAGTGTCAGATGTGTGGTGTTCTGAGATACATGTATAGTGTCAGATGAATGGTGTTCTGAGATACATGTATAGTGTCAGATGTGTGGTGTTTTGAGATACATGTATAGTGTCAGATGAATGGTGTTCTGAGATACATGTATAGTGTCAGATGTGTGGTGTTTTGAGATACATGTATAGTGTCAGATGTGTGGTGTTCTGAGATACATGTATAGTGTCAGATGTGTGGTGTTCTGAGATACATGTATAGTGTCAGATGAATGGTGTTCTGAGATACATGTATAGTGTCAGATGAATGGTGTTCTGAGATACATGTATAGTGTCAGATGTGTGGTGTTCTGAGATACATGTATAGTGTCAGATGTGTGGTGTTCTGAGATACATGTATAGTGTCAGATGAATGGTGTTCTGAGATACATGTATAGTGTCAGATGTGTGGTGTTCTGAGATACATGTATAGTGTCAGATGTGTGGTGTTCTGAGATACATGTATAGTGTCAGATGTGTGGTGTTCTGAGATACATGTATAGTGTCAGATGAATGGTGTTCTGAGATACATGTATAGTGTCAGATGTGTGGTGTTCTGAGATACATGTATAGTGTCAGATGTGTGGTGTTCTGAGATACATGTATAGTGTCAGATGTGTGGTGTTCTGAGATACATGTATAGTGTCAGATGTGTGGTGTTCTGAGATACATGTATAGTGTCAGATGTGTGGTGTTTTGAGATACATGTATAGTGTCAGATGTGTGGTGTTCTGAGATACATGTATAGTGTCAGATGAATGGTGTTCTGAGATACATGTATAGTGTCAGATGTGTGGTGTTCTGAGATACATGTATAGTGTCAGATGTGTGGTGTTCTGAGATACATGTATAGTGTCAGATGTGTGGTGTTCTGAGATACATGTATAGTGTCAGATGTGTGGTGTTCTGAGATACATGTATAGTGTCAGATGTGTGGTGTTCTGAGATACATGTATAGTGTATTGAGTGAGATGTTTGATAGTCTGATGCGTATGCTGTAGAATATTTACTGCATGACACGCAGGCTCTTATTTTGGCATGTTCAGCTGCAAAGGCAGGCAAGATTTTTTTGGGCAGCAAAGTAAAACTAATAATTTTTTTCCATTATAAAACCCGCATTAGATTAGCGCAAAGCTGCATACTAGAATAATATGCTAAAAGAGTTAATTCTATGGTTAAGATGTTTATAGAGGAAAACTCTTGCGCATATGAGGTGATGTCTACAGATATCGTTTATGGTTTTTATGTCTCCAAATATCAATGAACTGCTCAAATTTATGATGCTGCAATGAAATTAACTAGTTTTTACCATCCCCTTATGGGATGAAAAATTTTTTACTTTTTTTTTAAAAACTCCACCCTGGCTCTTGCCAGGGGCCGCAATTTAGCAGGGCCGTAAATATGGCCTAACGGCAGAACACGGTTTCCGGGACCTCTCCACGGGTGATCCTCATCTGAATGGTGGCACTTTGTGTCATCGGGTGTTTATCGCTTGTGTGATGTCCTGGTGGGGTAAAAGGTACTAATACTGAGAGCCATAGACCACTCTGAATGTGTGAGGCGAATGATGTGGAGAGGTGTGCGAGGTCTGAGATGAGTGATGGGATGTATAAGGTATGTCAATGAGGCAAGACCCATATAAGGCGAGCTATATGTGAGGTTTGACAAGTCAGACCCATGTAAGGCGAACTATATGTGAGGTGTGAAAAGGAGGGCAGACCTATATAATGCGAGCTATGTGTGAGCTATGACAATTAGGCCAGACCCATATAAGGCGAGCTATATGTGAGGTTTGACAAGTCAGACCCATGTAAGGCGAGCTATATGTGAGGTGTGACAATGAGGCCAGACCCATGTAAGGCGAGCTGTGTGTGAGATATGACAATGAGGCCAGACCCGTGTAAGGCGAGCTATGTGTGAGGTATGACAATGAGGCCAGACCCATGTTAGGCGAGCTATGTGTGAGGTATGACAATGAGGCCAGACCCATGTAAGGCGAGCTATGTGTGAGGTATGACAATGAGGCCAGACCCATGTAGGCGAGCTATGTGTGAGGTATGACAATGAGGCCAGACCCATGTAAGGCGAGCTATGTGTGAGGTATGACAATGAGGCCAGACCCATGTTAGGCGAGCTATGTGTGAGGTATGACAATGAGGCCAGACGTATATAAGGCGAGCTATGTGTGAGGTATGACAATGAGGCCAGACCCATGTTAGGCGAGCTATGTGTGAGGTATGACAATGAGGCCAGACCCATGTTAGGCGAGCTATGTGTGAGGTATGACAATGAGGCCAGACCCATGTTAGGCGAGCTATGTGTGAGGTATGACAATGAGGCCAGACGACGAGCTCTGTGTATAAGGCGAGCTATGTGTGAGGTATGACAATGAGGCCAGACCCATGTAAGGCGAGCTATGTGTGAGGTATGACAATGAGGCCAGACGTATATAAGGCGAGCTATGTGTGAGGTATGACAATGAGGCCAGACGTATATAAGGCGAGCTATGTGTGAGGTATGACAATGAGGCCAGACCCATGTTAGGCGAGCTATGTGTGAGGTATGACAATGAGGCCAGACATATGTAAGGCGAGCTATGTGTGAGGTATGACAATGAGGCCAGACCCATGTGAGGCGAGCTATGTGTGAGGTATGACAATGAGGCCAGACATATGTTAGGCGAGCTATGTGTGAGGTATGACAATGAGGCCAGACCCATGTTAGGCGAGCTATGTGTGAGGTATGACAATGAGGCCAGACCCATGTTAGGCGAGCTATGTGTGAGGTATGACAATGAGGCCAGACGTATATAAGGCGAGCTATGTGTGAGGTATGACAATGAGGCCAGACCCATGTTAGGCGAGCTATGTGTGAGGTATGACAATGAGGCCAGACGTATATAAGGCGAGCTCTGTGTGAGGTATGACAATGAGGCCAGACATATGTTAGGCGAGCTCTGTATGAGGTATGACAATGAGGCCAGACCCATGTTAGGCGAGCTATGTCTGAGGTATGACAATGAGGCCAGACCCATGTGAGGCGAGCTATGTGTGAGGTATGACAATGAGGCCAGACCCATGTGAGGCGAGCTATATGTGAGGTATGACAATGAGGCCAAACCCATGTTAGGCGAGCTAGTGTGAGGTATGACAATGAGGCAAGACATATGTTAGGCGAGCTATGTGTGAGGTATGACAATGAGGCAGACGTATGACAATATATAAGGCGAGCTATGTGTGAGAGGCCAGACCCATGTTAGGCGAGCTATGTGTGAGGTATGACAATGAGGACGTATAGAGGCCTATGTGTGAGGTATGACGATGAGGACCCGTTAGGCGAGCTATGTGTGAGGTATGACAATGAGGCCAACCCATGTTAGGCGAGCTATGTGTGAGGTATGACAATGAGGCCAGACCCGTATATAGGCGAGCTCTGTGTGAGGTATGACAATGAGGCCAGACCCATGTTAGGCGAGCTATGTGTGAGGTATGACAGATGTGTAAGGTATGACAATGAGGCCAGACCCATGTTAGGCGAGCTATGTGTGAGGTATGACAATGCCAGACGTATGACTGTGTGAGGTATGATGAAGTCAGACCCATGTTAGGCGAGCTATGTGTGAGGTATGACAATAAGGCGAGCTATGTGTGAGGTGACAATGAAGCCAGAGAGGCGAGCTATGTGTGAGGTATGACAATGAGGCCAGACGTATGTTAGGCGAGCTATGTGTGAGGTATGACAATGAGGTAGACAATGAGGCCAGACCCATGTTAGGCGAGCTATGTGTGAGGTATGACAATGAGGCCAGAGACCCATGTTAGGCGAGCTATGTGTGAGGTATGACAATGAGCTATGTGTGAGGTATGACAATGAGGCCCCATGTTAGGCGAGCTATGTGTGAGGTATGTATAGGCGACAAGAGGCCAGACCCATGTTAGGCGAGCTATGTGTGAGGTATGTTGTGTGAGGTATGACAATGAGGCCAGACCCATGTTAGGCGAGCTATGTGTGAGGTATGACAATGAGGCCAGACCCATGTTAGGCGAGCTATGTGTGAGGTATGACAATGAGGCCAGACGTATATAAGGCGAGCTATGTGTGAGGTATGACAATGAGGCCAGACATATATAAGGCGAGCTTTGTGTGAAACGAATAATGTGGGAGACTAGTGATCGTGGCGACGATGGTGATGGTGACCATATTTATCTGCTACATTACACAATTTATTTCTTGATTCAGTCCCAGGAGCAGGCTGTAAACCGCACCAAAAACTTGGCTTGCCTTCTGGACTGTTCCATGAACGACATGAGCACCATAGTTGACTATCTACGAGAGGCCAGCCCCCAGCTATTGACACAGACACAGTGGAAGCTGACCAGCTACTACTTCGACCCGCCATTCGCCCCAGTTGTTGATGGGAAATTCCTTCTCAAGCATCCCTCGGAGGTCATGGCCGAAGGAAAGGTCCGTTTGGGTCAAGGTCATTGTATGACTTTCTTTTACATGTATTCTATCTATAACCAGAAACTCGCAAAAAGAAGACATGTGTGCCCACGTGAGGCAGACAGGATGACAGTGGTGCCACCTGATCCCTAGACACAGGGGTTGACAATGAAATGCCCGTGCAGACACGACCAATCTCGACCTCATTCCAGTCAGACTGAACATGCTGTGCAAATTATGACCTGATTAAACAGGACACCGAGGATAGCCGGGACATAGGAAGGCAGGGACAGGGGGGAATGCTGATATACATGAAGGCAGACGTAGGCAGCATACAAGAAAGCATAAGAGACGGATTTATATAAAGGCAGGCATACATAAAGGCACAGCAGACAGGGTGACATAGACAGAGAGGCACAAACATAAAGGTAGATACAACGGGCTGATGAATGGGCAGCGCAGGAGAGATTGGACGGCATAGATAGAGACAGACATTTGGACACGCAAAGACCAGGCAAACAGGAAGGCAAAGAAAGATGCAGAGCAACAGAATACTATATGGATGAGAGAGAGAGAGAGAGAGAGAGAGATGAGAGAGATGGATGAGAGAGATGGATGAGAGAGAGAGAGAGAGAGAGAGAGAGAGAGAGAGAGAGAGAGAGAGAGAGAGAGAGATAAGGAAGGGAGGAGGGAGGCAGGCAGATTATCTTGACAGATAGACTGATTTAGACAGACTGACAATCTACAACTCCCATCTGTTTGTTTACAGGTAAAAAATACGTCACTTATCGTTGGTGTGGTGAAGGATGAAGGGACATACTGGCTGCTTTACGGTTTCAGTCTTATCTTTGGTAACCGGGATCCGAACCCTGTCTCTCCCAGCCAGTACAGCACAGTGGTCGAGGCTCTCCTGAAGCCACTGGGAGATAACTTCACCACTGATTCCATAAAACATTTGACCATGAACGAGTATTACGATTCCGTGCCTCCACAGACAAGGGGAGACTACCTGGACGCTGCCGATGATATATGGTAATTACCTCTCTTACATATAACCACTGAAATGGGAAGGCAGGTGGCGAGTCCCAGTGCACAGCCTTCTCCACCTATGGCGAGTCCCAGTGCACAGCCTTCTCCACCTATGGTTAGTCCCAGTCCACAGCCTTCTCCACTTATGGCGAGTCCCAGTGCACGGCATTCTCCACCTATAGGCGAGGTCCCATCATTAAGGCCAAATCCACCTATGGCGGTTTCTGTGGACAGCATTCTCACCTACGGTGAGTCCTCATCCGCATGGTGGCACTATTGTGTCATCGGGTGTTTATCCTTGTGGCGAGTCCCAGTGGGTAAAAAATCCAATCCAATCCAAGGCAGGTGGCGAGTCCCAGTGCACAACCTTCTCCACCTATGGTTAGTCCCAGTATGCAGCCTTCTCCACCTATGGTTAGTCCCAGTGCACAGCCTTCTCCACCTATGGTTAGTCCCAATATGCAGCCTTCTCCACCTATGGCTAGTCCCAGTGTGCATCCTTCTCCGTGCAGCCTTCTCCACCTATGGTTAGTCCCAGTATGCAGCCTTCTCCACCTATGGTTAGTCCCAGTATGCAGCCTTCTCCACCTATGGCTAGTCCCAGTGTGCATCCTTCTCCACCTATGGTTAGTCCCAGTATGCAGCCTTCTCCACCTATGGTTAGTCCCAGTATGCAGCCTTCTCCACCTATGGTTAGTCCCAGTATGCAGCCTTCTCCACCTATGGTTAGTCCCAGTATGCAGCCTTCTCCACCTATGGTTAGTCCCAGTATGCAGCCTTCTCCACCTATGGTTAGTCCCAGTATGCAGCCTTCTCCACCTATGGTTAGTCCCAGTATGCAGCCTTCTCCACCTATGGTTAGTCCCAGTATGCAGCCTTCTCCACCTATGGTTAGTCCCAGTATGCAGCCTTCTCCACCTATGGCTAGTCCCAGTGTGCATCCTTCTCCACCTATGGTTAGTCCCAGTATGCAGCCTTCTCCACCTATGGTTAGTCCCAGTGCACAGCCTTCTCCACCTATGGTTAGTCCCAATATGCAGCCTTCTCCACCTATGGCTAGTCCCAGTGTGCATCCTTCTCCCCGATGTGCAGCCTTCTCCACCTATGGTTAGTCCCAGTATGCAGCCTTCTCCACCTATGGTTAGTCCCAGTATGCAGCCTTCTCCACCTATGGCTAGTCCCAGTGTGCATCCTTCTCCACCTATGGTTAGTCCCAGTATGCAGCCTTCTCCACCTATGGTTAGTCCCAGTATGCAGCCTTCTCCACCTATGGTTAGTCCCAGTATGCAGCCTTCTCCACCTATGGTTAGTCCCAGTATGCAGCCTTCTCCACCTATGGTTAGTCCCAGTATGCAGCCTTCTCCACCTATGGTTAGTCCCAGTATGCAGCCTTCTCCACCTATGGTGTGTGAGTAGTCCCAGTATGCAGCCTTCTCCACCTATGGTTAGTCCCAGTATGCAGCCTTCTCCACCTATGGTTAGTCCCAGTATGCAGCCTTCTCCACCTATGGCTAGTCCCAGTGTGCATCCTTCTCCACCTATGGTTAGTCCCAGTATGCAGCCTTCTCCACCTATGGTTAGTCCCAGTATGCAGCCTTCTCCACCTATGGTTAGTCCCAGTATGCAGCCTTCTCCACCTATGGCTAGTCCCAGTGTGCATCCTTCTCCGTGCAGCCTTCTCCACCTATGGTTAGTCCCAGTATGCAGCCTTCTCCACCTATGGTTAGTCCCAGTATGCAGCCTTCTCCACCTATGGTTAGTCCCAGTATGCAGCCTTCTCCACCTATGGTTAGTCCCAGTATGCAGCCTTCTCCACCTATGGTTAGTCCCAGTAAGCAGCCTTCTCCACCTATGGCTAGTCACAGTGCACAGCCTTCTCCACCCATGGCGAGTCACAGTGCACAGCCTTCTCCACCCATAGCGAGTCCCAGTGCACAACCTTCTCCATCTGTGGCCAGTCCCAGTGCACAACCTTCTCCATCTGTGACGAGTCCCAGTGCACAGACCTCTCCGTCTATCCGAAGAAAGCATTGCCTAGTGTGACGGAACAATCTTATGAATATATTCACTCAGTGGAGAACATCCACAAACCTAGACAGGTACTCAGTAAACAGGCGACATAAGCTTGTGACAGTCTGTTTTTAGTTAGTCTGTGTTCGTATGTTTGCGACATTTTTTTTTAAATAGGGAAAAAAAAAAAGGGGGGGGGGGGAGAATAGGGTTGTACTGCCACTATCATTTGTCCAAGACAAGAGACAGTGTGATTCTGAGACATTACAGTCAACCTTCGTCGTGGAGATGGCTGATTGTCTCCGTACAGTTTACTAGTGATTGAGAAATCTGAGCAGTGGAGACGGCTGATTGTCTCCGTACAGTTTACTGGTGATTGAGAAATCTGAGCAGTGGAGACGGCTGCCGTACAGTTTACTAGTGATTGAGAAATCTGAGCAGTGGAGACGGCTGATTGTCTCCGTACAGTTTACTGGTGATTGAGAAATCTGAGCAGTGGAGACGGCTGATTGTCTCCGTACAGTTTACTGGTGATTGAGAAATCTGAGCAGTGGAGACGGTTGATTGTCGCCGTACAGTTTACTAGTGATTGAGAAATCTGTGGTACAACAGCAGTGGCGTAGGGAAGGGTAAACACGGGTAGTGACTGCTGCAATTCTGGGCAGTGGGAGTGCAGGCAGGATTGGAGATAGGTAAATGTTCATATTACATGGTGCTGAGTGACGGCCACAGCTGCTGTATTATGTCTAGTTGGTCAGACTTTGCATAAAGCCTAGTCATGAGAAGACCCAAATATTTATATGGATCACTTTAAAGGAGATGTCGCAACAAGATGACGTAACAAGATGACGTAACAAGATGTCGCAACAAGATGTCGCAACAAGATGACGTAACAAGATGTCGCAACAGGATGACGTAACACTTCCAGCATAACTTAAAGTGTTGGCTATGCAATCACTAGACATTTCAGTTTATGTTGAGCGCTTGCCATTCAATATGTCTTTTCTGGTAATCTGGTAATCCTATAGTTTCAGCTTCATAGCAAACGGGTCACCCCACAGATGCCCCGCTCCTGTGCCAACGAAAAACAAACACAGCTCACAGTGTCACGCCATGCACTCAACTCAGAAGCTGGGCGACGAAACTACACCCTTCCAGTCTACAAATGGAGCAAAAATGCAACGGCCACCGTCTGGCAAAAAAAAAAAAAACATTTGCCACGGCTTTTAAAAAAAATAATATTAAATAAAAAAAATATGTCTTTTGTTTTTATAAACGCCTATCAGGACAGACAGACAGACAGATAGATTTCTCACGTGACATCTTTCACACGTTCACAGCGGTGATCTATTATTCAAGTGTGCAGTGGTCAACTTTGGACAGTTGTACAGCCGCAAGGTCAGAGGTCAAGTGTTTATGTACTCCTACGAACACCGAGCCAGCACCAACACCTGGCCGCTGTGGGTCGGGGCTCCACACGGATACGAACTGGATGCGTTCTTTGGGCGGCCGTGGTCGGAGCCGGGGTCTAACTATAGCGACAGTGAGCGCGCCTTGAGTGATGACGTTATGTACCGGATATCAAACTTCGCTAAAACTGGGTTTGTGTTTTTTATTTTATACTTTATAACTAATTGAATTTTTTTTTCATCTGAACCGTTAGATCCGAATTTGCTAGTTGTGTGCTCCTTCCCCCATTTCCACGTGTACTGAGTTACAGCAGTGGTCTCAAACCTGCCCCCTCCTCCCCCCCCCCCCCCCCCCCAGTTGTGTCAAGCAATTTGGAAACGCACTGCATTCGTACTTGGAATAATCCAATGTTCAGCGGAAACAGTTATGAAAACAAAACAGCATTGCCAGCTTGACTGTGTGATATCAGTTGTGTCTTGTCCAGCAACAGTTTCAACAAAACAGCATTGCCAGCTTGACTGTGTGATATCAGTTGAGTCTTGTCCAGCAACAGTTTCAACAAAAAGCATTGCCAGCATTGCCAGCTTGACTGTGTGACATCAGTTGTGTCTTGTCCAGCAACAGTTTCAACAAAACAGCATTGCCAGCTTGACTGTGTGACATCAGTTGTGTCTTGTCCAGCAACAGTTTTGACAACAAAACAGCATTGCCAGCTTGACTGTGTGATATCAGTTGAGTCTTGTCCAGCAACAGTTTCAACAAAACAGCATTGCCAGCTTGACTGTGTGATATCAGTTGAGTCTTGTCCAGCAACAGTTTCAACAAAACAGCATTGCCAGCTTGACTGTGTGACATCAGTTGAGTCTTGTCCAGCAACAGTTTCAACAAAACAGCATTGCCAGCTTGACTGTGTGACATCAGTTGAGTCTTGTCCAGCAACAGTTATGAAAACAAAACAGCATTGCCAGCTTGACTGTGTGATATGTGATATCAGTTCAACAAAACAGTCTTGTCCAGCAACAGTTTCAACAAAACAGCATTGCCAGCTTGACTGTGTGACATCAGTTGAGTCTTGTCCAGCAACAGTTTCAACAAAACAGCATTGCCAGCTTGACTGTGTGATATCAGTTGAGTCTTGTCCAGCATCAGTTTCAACAAAACAGCATTGCCAGCTTGACTGTGTGATATCAGTTGAGTCTTGTCCAGCAACAGTTTCAACAAAACAGCATTGCCAGCTTGACTGTGTGACATCAGTTGTGTCTTGTCCAGCAACAGTTTCAACAAAACAGCATTGCCAGCTTGACTGTGTGATATCAGTTGTGTCTTGTCCAGCAACAGTTTCAACAAAACAGCATTGCCAGCTTGACTGTGTGATATCAGTTGTGTCTTGTCCAGCAACAGTTTCAACAAAACAGCATTGCCAGCTTGACTGTGTGATATCAGTTGTGTCTTGTCCAGCAACAGTTTCAACAAAACAGCATTGCAGCTTGACTGTGTGACATCAGTTGTGTCTTGTCCAGCAACAGTTTCAACAAAACAGCATTGCCAGCTTGACTGTGTGATATCAGTTGTGTCTTGTCCAGCAACAGTTTCAACAAAACAGCATTGCCAGCTTGACTGTGTGATATCAGTTGTGTCTTGTCCAGCAACAGTTTCAACAAAACAGCATTGCCAGCTTGACTGTGTGATATCAGTTGTGTCTTGTCCAGCAACAGTTTCAACAAAACAGCATTGCCAGCTTGACTGTGTGATATCAGTTGTGTCTTGTCCAGCAACAGTTTCAACAAAACAGCATTGCCAGCTTGACTGTGTGATATCAGTTGTGTCTTGTCCAGCAACAGTTTCAACAAAACAGCATTGCCAGCTTGACTGTGTGATATCAGTTGTGTCTTGTCCAGCAACAGTTTCAACAAAACAGCATTGCCAGCTTGACTGTGTGACATCAGTTGTGTCTTCAACAAAACAGCATTGCCAGCTTGACTGTGTGACATCAGTTGTGTCTTGTCCAGCAGTTTCAACAAAAACAGCATTGCCAGCTTGACTGTGTGATATCAGTTGTGTCTTGTCCAGCAACAGTTTCAACAAAACAGCAGACTGTGTGATATCAGTTGTGTCTTGTCCAGCAACAGTTTCAACAAACAGCATTGCCAGCTTGACTGTGTGACATCAGTTGTGTCTTGTCCAGCACAGTTTCAACAAAACAGCATTGCCAGCTTGACTGTGTGATATCAGTTGTGTCTTGTCCAGCAACAGTTTCAACAAAAAACAGCATTGCCAGCTTGACTGTGTGACATCAGTGTGATATCAGTTGTGTCTTGTCCAGCAACAGTTTCAACAAAACAGCATTGCCAGCTTGACTGTGTGACATCAGTTGTGTCTTGTCCAGCAACAGTTTCAACAAAACAGCATTGCCAGCTTGACTGTGTGACATCAGTTGTGTCTTGTCCAGCAACAGTTTCAACAAAACAGCATTGCCAGCTTGACTGTGTGACATCAGTTGTGTCTTGTCCAGCAACAGTTTCAACAAAACAGCATTGCCAGCTTGACTGTGTGATATCAGTTGTGTCTTGTCCAGCAACAGTTTCAACAAAACAGCATTGCCAGCTTGACTGTGTGATATCAGTTGTGTCTTGTCCAGCAACAGTTTCAACAAAACAGCATTGCCAGCTTGACTGTGTGACATCAGTTGTGTCTTGTCCAGCAACAGTTTCAACAAAACAGCATTGCCAGCTTGACTGTGTGACATCAGTTGTGTCTTGTCCAGCAACAGTTTCAACAAAACAGCATTGCCAGCTTGACTGTGTGACATCAGTTGTGTCTTGTCCAGCAACAGTTTCAACAAAACAGCATTGCCAGCTTGACTGTGTGATATCAGTTGTGTCTTGTTTCAACCAGCATTGCCACAGTTTCAACAAAACAGCATTGCCAGCTTGACTGTGTGACATCAGTTGTGTCTTGTCCAGCAACAGTTTCAACAAAACAGCATTGCCAGCTTGACTGTGTGATATCAGTTGTGTCTTGTCCAGCAACAGTTTCAACAAAACAGCATTGCCAGCTTGACTGTGTGATATCAGTTGTGTCTTGTCCAGCAACAGTTTCAACAAAAACAGCATTGCCAGCTTGACTGTGTGATATCAGTTGTGTCTTGTCCAGCAACAGTTTCAACAAAACAGCATTGCCAGCTTGACTGTGTGATATCAGTTGTGTCTTGTCCAGCAACAGTTTCAACAAAACAGCATTGCCAGCTTGACTGTGTGATATCAGTTTGTGTCTTGTCCAGCAACAGTTTCAACAAAACAGCATTGCCAGCTTGACTGTGTGATATCAGTTGTGTCTTGTCCAGCAACAGTTTCAACAAAACAGCATTGCCAGCTTGACTGTGTGATATCAGTTGTGTCTTGTCCAGCAACAGTTTCAACAAAACAGCATTGCCAGCTTGACTGTGTGACATCAGTTGTGTCTTGTCCAGCAACAGTTTCAACAAAACAGCATTGCCAGCTTGACTGTGTGATATCAGTTGTGTCTTGTCCAGCAACAGTTTCAACAAAACAGCATTGCCAGCTTGACTGTGTGATATCAGTTGTGTCTTGTCCAGCAACAGTTTCAACAAAACAGCATTGCCAGCTTGACTGTGTGACATCAGTTGTGTCTTGTCCAGCAACAGTTTCAACAAAACCAGCATTGCCAGCTTGACTGTGTGACATCAGTTGCCAGCTTGTCTGTGTCCAGCAACAGTTTCAACAAAACAGCATTGCCAGCTTGACTGTGTGATATCAGTTGTGTCTTGTCCAGCAACAGTTTCAACAAACCAGCATTGCCAGCTTGACTGTGTGATATCAGTTGTGTCTTGTCCAGCAACAGTTTCAACAAACCAGCATTGCCAGCTTGACTGTGTGATATCAGTTGTGTCTTGTCCAGCAACAGTTTCAACAAAACAGCATTGCCAGCTTGACTGTGTGATATCAGTTGTGTCTTGTCCAGCAACAGTTTCAACAAAACAGCATTGCCAGCTTGACTGTGTGATATCAGTTGTGTCTTGTCCAGCAACAGTTTCAACAAAACAGCATTGCCAGCTTGACTGTGTGTATCAGTTGTGTCTTGTCCAGCAACAGTTTCAACAAACAGCATTGCCAGCTTGACTGTGTGATATCAGTTGTGTCTTGTCCAGCAACAGTTTCAACAAAACAGCATTGCCAGCTTGACTGTGTGATATCAGTTGTGTCTTGTCCAGCAACAGTTTCAACAAAACAGCATTGCCAGCTTGACTGTGTGATATCAACAAAAACAGCATTGCCAGCTTGACTGTGTGATATCAGTTGTGTCTTGTCCAGCAACAGTTTCAACAAACCAGCATTGCCAGCTTGACTGTGTGATATCAGTTGTGTCTTGACCAACATCAGTTTCAACAAACCAGCATTGCCAGCTTGACTGTGTGATATCAGTTGTGTCTTGTCCAGCAACAGTTTCAACAATCAAACTCATATCTGGACACCAAAGTGCAAGATGGTGGTGATTGTTTCTGTTGTTATTTGACATTATGTGTTATGTGCGTGTTTTTCTCCGAGTTACTGTTAACAGTACCTGCGATTTTTCTTGTGGTCCTTGTAATAACATGTTATGTTTGGGGTGGGGGGGGGAGGGTCAGGGTGTCTTGTTTTATACTCAAGGGGTCGCTGCCTCAAAAAGATTAGAGACCACTGAGTTAGAGTGGACAAATGCCCATCTTCGGCCGAACCCCAGCCAGTAGGGAAATGCTGTGTCCTCTGAATACACAGGACACCAAGGCTATGCAAGTTCCTGAGGCGGGACAATTGGAAAAAGGACCGAGTGGTTTTCCGGCATGCCCTGACCAGAGAGATACATGGCCTGCTACTGACACCAGAACATACCTCTTCAAAGATGTGACATTCCACACCAGTGTTGTACACGTCGCTGCCGCCTGCGTTTGTAGAAGGAAAAGCCGAGCTCTATAACACTCCCCACAGTCTCTACAGCATCTCATGTTACTTTTTTCTATCAACTAATTGCACTCATTTACATCTTTGTATGCAGAGATCCAAACCAAGGTCTTCCAACACCAGGCGTCAACTGGCCAGTGTATACCACTGAAGACCAGCACTACTTGGTCATGAATGCAGGTCAGATGCGCGTGGACCAGGGGTTGAGACACAGGGAGTGTGAGTTCTGGAGGACCCAGGTTCCGATCTTCCAAGCAGGTAAGTTTCTCTATAGGACTGACCAAAAGACTAAAAATGCACACACGCCCCATCATCAAGTTACTGTACTGGTGTCATCAAGGTATGTCCCTAGATGTGTAACGACCCCTCCCCTTATTTTAAAAACTCAAACCAACGATCTGCACCGCAGACAAGAAGATCTGTAAACCTGCATTGCTGCCCAAAACTCAGCGAGACCAGAAGAATGCTACTCCCTCCAAGACCAGACAAGTGGAACACCTTGTACGGGGGTGGGGGGGGGGGGGATAGCTTGTGAAAACATGCAAAATCCACTACATGGCATTGGGCCAAAGCTCATGCGCCGCTGGATCGATAACAATAACAACAAACCTGTATTGCGCCCCTCATTATGCTAGCCTCACACTTTGGACCAGGGCTTTTAAACTAAGTTTACTCATGAGCCAAAATGTTCACAAATGTGGTCCTCACAGGCCACCGCCCAAGCCGATAAACAGCAATTGGCGGGTCACTGGTTAGACATCTGCGGGCCGCCAGTTGAATAGCTCTACTTTAGACTCACTGACAATGTGGTCAAATATCACGCTGCCTACCATTCCTTCTCATGACATGAGATTTTCAGAGGCCATTTTGAGCTAGACGGCAGCTCACACAGTTGAATGTGAGCAAACATTCAAACAGATGGATGGGCCATCAACAGAAACATTGGTACTTATCAAAATACTACCATTATGGCAGCGGCAGACACAGCAAACCCCTCAGCCATCGTGCTCCCTTTGTCCCGAAGAGAGCAGCCAAACTTGATTAAACAACCAACAGACACATGCTTGTACAGATATGCCATACTTTCTTGTCCTTCTCAATGTTTCAGCCAGCTATCCCAGAAGCACTTGCGAGCCCAGCAGCAGTGGTCGCCTGCGCCCGTGGCAAGTGTTACTGCTTCTGTGTGTCGTTGCTGTTGGTTACCAGCGATATGGAAGAGGGGACTGTGATGTGGAGACACAGTAGACAACAAAACAGCTGAATCTTACTGGCAAGCCACACCTCTATGTTTATCAGGAGAAACAACGAAAGGCAGTTAATGACTCAGAGCTCAGGACTTGAGTTTTAATCAGGAATTATTCTGTCACATTTGTTACTTCAACTCCTTGGGTCTTAAACATTTGTTACTTCACCTCCTTGGGTCTTAAAGATTTGTTACTTTACCTTCTTTGGCCTAAATATTTGTTACTTTACCTTCTTTGGCCTTAAATGTATATTACTTTACCTTCTTTGGCCTTAAATATTTATTACTTCACCTCCTTGGGTCTTAAACATTTGTTACTTTAACTCCTTGGGTCTTAAACATTTGTTACTTTAACTCCTTGGGTCTAAAACATTTGTTACTTTAACTCCTTGGGTCTTAAACATTTGTTACTTTATCTCCTTGGGTCTTAAACATTTGTTACTTTACCTTCTTTGGCCTTAAATGTATATTACTTTAACTCCTTGGGTCTTAAACATTTGTTAGTTTAACTCCTTGGGTCTAAAACATTTGTTACTTTAACTCCTTGGGTCTTAAACATTTGTTACTTTATCTCCTTGGGTCTTAAACATTTGTTACTTTAACTCCTTGGGAAGCAAACATTTGTTACTGTAACACTGTGGGTCGTAAACATTTGTTACTTTAACTCCTTGGGTCGTAAACATTTGTTACTTCACCTCCTTGGGAAGCAAACATTTGTTACTTTAACTCCTTGGGTCTTAAACATTTGTTACTTTATCTCCTTGGGTCTTAAACATTTGTTACTTTACCTTCTTTGGCCTTAAATGTATATTACTTTAACTCCTTGGGTCTTAAACATTTGTTAGTTTAACTCCTTGGGTCTAAAACATTTGTTACTTTAACTCCTTGGGTCTTAAACATTTGTTATTTTAACTCCTTGGATCTTAAACATTTGTTACTTTATCTCTTTGGGTCTTAAACATTTGTTACTTTAACTCCTTGGGTCTTAAACATTTGTTACTTTAACTCCTTGGGAAGCAAACATTTGTTACTGTAACACTGTGGGTCGTAAACATTTGTTACTTTAACTCCTTGGGTCGTAAACATTTGTTACTTCACCTCCTTGGGAAGCAAACATTTGTTACTGTAACACTGTGGGTCGTAAACATTTGTTACTTCACCTCCTTAGGTCTTAAACATTTGTTACTTTAACTCCTTGGGTCTTAAACATTTGTTACTTCACCTCCTTGGGTCTTAAACATTTGTTACTTTAACTCCTTGGGTCTTAAATATTTGTTACTCCACCTCCTTGGGTCTTAAACATTTGTTACTTTAACTCCTTGGGTCTTAAACATTTGTTACTTTAACTCCTTGGGTCTTAAACATTTGTTACTTTACCTCCTTGGGTCTTAAAAATTTGTTACTTCAACACCTTGGATCACAAACATTTGGTGCTTAACTCTTTGAGCCCCAAGGAACGCATCAAACCTTCATAGGTTCCTAAATAGAAGCCCAATAAACCCATGATGCGCCAATTTGATGACTTTCTTGACTACCCCCTGGTCCTGTGATGCTAAACCCCCTGGTCCTGTGATGCTAAACCCCCTGGTCCTGTGATGCTAAACCCCCTGGTCCTGTGATGCTAAACCCCCTGGTCCTGTGATGCTAAACCCCCTGGTCCTGTGATGCTAAACCCCCTGGTCCTGTGATGCTAAACCCCCTGGTCCTGTGATGCTAAACCCCCTGGTCCTGTGATGCTAAACCCCCTGGTCCTGTGATGCTAAACCCCCCTGGTCCTGTGATGCTAAACCCCCTGGTCCTGTGATGCTAAACCCTCTGGTCCTGTGATGCTAAACCCCCTGGTCCTGTGATGCTAAACCCCCTGGTCCTGTGATGCTAAACCCCCTGGTCCTGTGATGCTAAACCCCCTGGTCCTGTGATGCTAAACCCCCTGGTCCTGTGATGCTAAACCCCCTGGTCCTGTGATGCTAAAAACCCCCTGGTCCTGTGATGCTAAACCCCCTGGTCCTGTGATGCTAAACCCCCTGGTCCTGTGATGCTAAACCCCCTGGTCCTGTGATGCTAAACCCCCTGGTCCTGTGATGCTAAACCCTCTGAGACTCAAAGAGTTAAACTAGCACAGCACACTTCGGTTTAATCTGCATCTGGCTGGTTGTTTGGTTGTGGATTTTAGTCTTGTTCCAGAACTTGAGTTTTGTAAACTGCCTTGTGTGTATGTAGACTGTTGGTTCTGCACCTCTCAACCAGATGCAAACTGCCTTGTGTGTATGTAGACTGTTGGTTCTGGACCTCTCAACCAGATGTAAACTGCCTTGTGTGTATGTAGACTGTTGGTTCTGGACCTCTTAAACCATGATGTAAACCAGATGTAAAACTGCCTTGTGTGTATGTAGACTGTTGGTTCTGGACCTCTTAACCAGATGTAAACTGCCTTGTGTGTATGTAGACTGTTGGTTCTGGACCTCTTAACCAGATGTAAACTGCCTTGTGTGTATGTAGACTGTTGGTTCTGGACCTCTTAACCAGATGTAAACTGCCTTGTGTGTATGTAGACTGTTGGTTCTGGACCTCTCAACCAGATGCAAACTGCCTTGTGTGTATGTAGACTGTTGGTTCTGGACCTCTTAACCAGATGTAAACTGCCTGTGTGTGTATGTACCTCTCAACCAGATGTAAAACTGTTGTGTATTAGACTTTTGGAACTCTCAACCAGATGTAAAATGCCTGCCTTGTGTGTATGTAGAACTTTTGGTTCTGAACCTCTCAACCAGATGCAAACTGCCTTGTGTGTATGTAGACTGTTGGTTCTGAACCTCTCAACCAGATGCAAACTGCCTTGTGTGTATGTAGACTGTTGGTTCTGAACCTCTCAACCAGATGTAAACTGCCTTGTGTGTATGTAGACTGTTGGTTCTGAACCTCTCAACCAGATGCAAACTGCCTTGTGTGTATGTAGACTGTTGGTTCTGAACCTCTCAACCAGATGCAAACTGCCTTGTGTGTATGTAGACTGTTGGTTCTGAACCTCTCAACCAGATGTAAACTGCCTTGTGTGTATGTAGACTGTTGGTTCTGAACCTCTCAACCAGATGCAAACTGCCTTGTGTGTATGTAGACTGTTGGTTCTGAACCTCTCAACCAGATACACACTGACTTGAAAGGGAACATTCCTAACCTGTCACGATTTTTGGACATGATTGACAGGCAGTGGGTGTATGTCATAACCCCCCCCCCCCTCCCCCCCTGACAATAAGCCCTGGAACCCACATGCAAAAAGAAAGAGGGCCCATTTATTAACAACATTATGAGAAGGGAACATCTAAAATGTATTATAACTGGAAAAGAAGAAAAGAAAAAAACCAAGTCAGAGAGATTTACCAGTCATGGAACAAAACAAACGTGTATGAATATGTACGTATAGGCTAGCAACAACATTAATCCATGTAAATACTTGTGCAAATGTATGTCTGAATTGCAATGAGGACAATATTTGCTTATGATTGCATGTAACATGTAACACATAAGCAAAATGACAATGTGGGTTAATATATGTGTATATATCAGACAGAAAATGGCAATGCATGTATGAGCGTGTATAAGGACTATAAAAAATATGTGTACTAAAGCATATGATATGGACTATAGTCGAATGTGTCTACATCCATGCATATATCATTTGGAGTACTTAAATATTTGTGTATATTATATGGACTGCAATAAAGCATTTATATGCATGCCTTTCACATATATGTCTTGTATGAACACATACAGTGATGCAAAGAATCAATTATGAATCTTTGAATAAATTCTGTAAATATTTCTCAGCTTGTGTGTATCTGGCACCCATACAGTAAGCAAAGAATAGTATCACTAAACTATCAAGAGGCTTCACCCATACAGGAAGCAAAGAATATTATCACTAAACTATCAAGAGACTTCACCCATACAGGAAGCAAAGAATAGTAACACTAAACTATCAAGAGACTTCACCCATACAGGAAGCAAAGAATAGTATCACTAAACTATCAAGAGACTTCACCTATACAGGAAGCAAAGAATAGTATCACTAAACTATCAAGAGGCTTCACCCATACAGGAAGCAAAGAATAGTATCACTAAACTATCAAGAGACTTCACCCATACAGGAAGCAAAGAATAGTATCACTAAACTATCAAGAGACTTCACCCATACAGGAAGCAACGAATAGTATCACTAAACTATCAAGAGGCTTCACCCATACAGGAAGCAAAGAATAGTATCACTATATCATCAATAGGCTTCACCTATACAGGAAGCAAAGAATAGTATCACTAAACTATCAAGAGGCTTCACCCATACAGGAAGCAAAGAATAGTATCACTAAACTATCAAGAGACTTCACCCATACAGGAAGCAAAGAATAGTATCACTAAACTATTGAGAGACTTCACCCATACAGGAAGCAAAGAATAGTATCACTTAACTATCAGGAGGCTTTACCCATACAGGAAGCAAAGAATAGTATCACTAAACTATCAAGAGACTTCACCCATACAGGAAGCAAAGAATAGTATCACTAAACTATCAAGAGACTTCACCCATACAGGAAGCAATGAATAGTATCACTAAACTATCAAGAGGCTTCACCCATACAAGAAGCTGAGAAAAGTATCACTAAACTATCAAGAGGCTTCACCCATACAGGAAGCAAAGAATAGTATCACTAAACCATCAAGAGACTTCACCCATACAGGAAGCAAAGAATAGTATCACTATACTATCAAGAGGCTTCACCCATACAGTAAGCAAAGAATAGTATCACTATACTATCAAGAGGCTTCACCCATACAGGAAGTAAAGAATAGTATCACTATACTATCAAGAGGCTTCACCCATACAGGAAGTTAAGAATAGTATCACTATACTATCAAGAGGCTTCACCCATACAGGAAGTAAAGAATAGTATCACTATACTATCAAGAGGCTTCACCCATACAGGAAGTAAAGAATAGTATCAATATACTATCAAGAGGCTTCACCCATACAGGAAGTAAAGAATAGTATCACTAAACTATTAAGAGGCTTCACCCATACAGGAAGTAAAGAATAGTATCACTAAACTATCAAGAGGCTTCACCCATACAGGAAGCAAAGAAAAGTGTCACTAAACTTTCAAGAGGCTTCACCCATACAGGAAGCAAAGAATAGTTTCACTAAACTATCAAGAGGCTTCACCCATACAAGAAGTTGAGAAAAGTATCACTAAACTATCAAGAGACTTCACCCATACAGGAAGCTGAGAAAAGTATCACTAAACTATCAAGAGACTTCACCCATACAGGAAGCAAAGAAAAGTATCACTAAACTATCAAGAGACTTCACCCATACAGGAAGCAAAGAATAGTATCACTAAACTATTGAGAGACTTCACCCATACAGGAAGCTGAGAAAAGTATCACTAAACTATCAAGAGACTTCACCCATACAGGAAGCAAAGAAAAGTATCACTAAACTATCAAGAGACTTCACCCATACAGGAAGCAAAGAATAGTATCACTAAACTATCAAGAGACTTCACCCATACAGGAAGCAAAGAATAGTATCACTAAACTATCAAGAGACTTCACCCATACAGGAAGCAAAGAATAGTATCACTAAACTATCAAGAGACTTCACCCATACAGGAAGCAAAGAATAGTATCACTAAACTATCAAGAGACTTCACCCATACAGGAAGCTGAGAAAAGTATCACTAAACTATCAAGAGACTTCACCCATACAGGAAGCAAAGAAAAGTATCACTAAACTATCAAGTGACTTCACCCATACAGGAAGCAAAGAATAGTATCACTATACCATCAAGAGACAACTAAAATAAGAGGGAGGCATTAAAACACAAAAGCTAGCCCTATAGCAGACACAGCTGGTAGGATGTGAAGTGTTAGACCCTTACATATTCTAGGCAATGGCAGACATGTGAGGTTGGGTGGCTGGTTCCTTTCCTTATGATTCCTATCTTAATTCTGGAAACTTATCTGCTATCCAGTTTTCTGAAGGACTGAAGCGGGACTATTGTATCAGCAGATTAGTGCACCACTAACCAGTACGCCACTGCAACTCACTAAAGGGAAGAAAATTTGACACAAAAATGAACAATATGGGAAAGACACCAAAACAGTTCTGTGGGATGAGGACAAAGGGATAGGAAGGTTTTTGTTAGCTGTAGGGGTTCGCTAAATTGGAGGACAACAAGATGTGGAGACAGTCACCTCTGGGAAGTTGGGTGGAGACTTTGGACCCTTAAAAGAGCCTGTTATACCTCTATGTTGATATAAACTACAGTATCTGTCTTATACAAAACTCAATGGTTTCTGAGTTTGGAGGGGGTGGGTTTAGAGAACTCTGCAACACAGTTCCAATGAAGACAGTAGTTTGCTAACAGATCAAGACAGAAGTCATGACATTAACTTTATCTGATAAGATGCAACCTATTTCCAGGGTCTAGGTGACCTCAACACAAATACATCAGCTTCAAAAGTCTTCTTGAGGATTCATCAAACAGCAACCACCATTTATATGTTTGCTTTCTAGATACTAATCACTCATAATCACTTGACTCATCTATGGATCATTGCAAACTATCTGATTTCAATGCCTTATGGAAACTATATGTATATGTTTGTGCTTGTCACTGCCAACAATGATGGACTTATCCAGTGACAGCAGTTTGTTCCCAGGCCACAAGAACCACAATGTCCACTACTGGTCACTGTGTGACTGGAGAGGCCAATAATGTCAGCCCAGAAATGGTTACAATGAGGACAAAGAAAAGTTAATGTCCATGAGATATCTCAGTTCCAAACTGCTCAAATGCAGTGTTATTTGACTACACCAGAAACTATCAACAATGGGTTTCTCAATTTCCAAAGCCAATCAATTAAAACAAAAAACCTGACTGCCCGCCAAAGAAAATACTACTGCTGATTTCTGCAGACACCTGGTTGTATTGATTGCTGCTAGATCCAAGTACCTGTGTATGTGTGACATTTCTAGTTGGTTCATTACAGACAACGGGAAGACAGACACACACACATAAAAGCAGACACAGAAAAGGAAAACATGTGGTTAAATAGACAGCACAAAGAAAGGTAAGTAGGAAGATAGCAGAGAGAAATGACAGGACACAGACAAATAAACAAAGAGACAGACTACGGCTGAAAGTCAAGGGGCGAAACATCAACAATCAACACAAGCATTAAAAAAAAAGCCACAACAAACCAAATTTATATTTAAAAGAAAGAAATGATCTATTATCCTTGTCAGTTTAACATCTGCCCAGGTATCACTAACCTGTCATGCATTATACACCTTAGGCCAGGCTATTCAACTGGTGGCCTGTGGAGGTCTAGCAAGTGGCTCGTGGACCACTGACATTTTTATTGTATTAATGAACTGTCTATTCTGGGGCTCTGGCCTGTGACAATCCCAGTTTAATATTGTGTCCCCAGAGTCAACCTTGTTGAAAAGCCCTGCCTTACACACAAACTATAACACCCGCCACAGCCCATTTATCTCTCTATAAGCATTATTTTCCATGAGAGGTGCATGCAAACTGCCTGGACAAACAAACCAGTAGCAGAAATGAGATGCCAAAAGGGAACTGACATCGGCAAACCTGAGATCTGGGGGGAGGAGGGGAAAAACTACCTGGATATTTCCACTTACTGTGAAGACATGACCTGATCCCAGACTTGGCACTGAACTGTGACTATGTTCACTGCAAAGGCATATGCTGATAGTTAATCATGTGTACACTGTTACCCTAGTGATACTGCTGTTGTAGCATATTCACTTAGACCACAGCTATTGCGCAGGCGGCCCTCAGGCTAGCAAGCTGCCCGTGGATCATTTCCTATTATATTTTATTAATGTTATTTCTCTGCTGGGGCTCAGGCTTCTGGCCCATGATGATCTAAACCTTCCAATCTTCTGAACTGTGAACAGACATAACTGAGAGAGCTGACTTAGACTCGTACAACTGAGAGAGCTGACTTAGACTCGTACAGCTGAGAGAGCTGACTTAGACTCGTACAGCTGAGAGAGCTGACTTAGACTCATACAACTGAGAGAGCTGACTTAGACAGACTCATACAACTGAGAGAGCTGACTTAGACTCATACAGCTGAGAGAGCTGACTTAGACTCGTACAACTGAGAGAGCTGACTTAGACTCGTACAGCTGAGAGAGCTGACTTAGACTCATACAACTGAGAGAGCTGACTTAGACTCGTACAACTGAGAGAGCTGACTTAGACTTGTACAACTGAGAGAGCTGACTTAGACTCGTACAACTGAGAGAGCTGACTTAGACTCATACAACTGAGAGAGCTGACTTAGACTCATACAACTGAGAGAGCTGACTTAGATTCATACAACTGAGAGGGCTGACTTAGATTCATACAACTGAGAGAGCTGACTTAGATTCATACAACTGAGAGAGCTGACTTAGACTCGTACAACTGAGAGAGCTGACTTAGATTCATACAACTGAGAGAGCTGACTTAGACTCATACAGCTGAGAGAGCTGACTTAGATTCATACAACTGAGAGAGCTGACTTAGATTCATACAACTGAGAGAGCTGACTTAGACTCGTACAACTGAGAGAGCTGACTTAGACTCATACAGCTGAGAGAGCTGACTTAGATTCATACAACTGAGAGAGCTGACTTAGACTCGTACAACTGAGAGAGCTGACTTAGATTCATACAACTGAGAGAGCTGACTTAGACTCATACAGCTGAGAGAGCTGACTTAGATTCATACAACTGAGAGAGCTGACTTAGATTCATACAACTGAGAGAGCTGACTTAGACTCGTACAGCTGAGAGAGCTGACTTAGACTCGTACAACTGAGAGAGCTGACTTAGACTCATACAACTGAGAGAGCTGACTTAGACTCATACAACTGAGAGAGCTGACTTAGATTCATACAACTGAGAGAGCTGACTTAGATTCATACAACTGAGAGAGCTGACTTAGATTCATACAGCTGAGAGAGCTGACTTAGATTCATACAACTGAGAGAGCTGACTTAGATTCATACAGCTGAGAGAGCTGACTTAGACTCATACAACTGAGAGAGCTGACTTAGACTCGTACAACTGAGAGAGCTGACTTAGATTCATACAACTGAGAGAGCTGACTTAGACTCGTACAACTGAGAGAGCAGGGAGACTTTCTTGCACAATCTGGCAGGTATGCAGAAGGTGAGAAATCAAGACAGTAGACCATGTCTCTAAGACACAATAAACCCAACTAACAAGGACAGACAAGACACTGGACATAACAACTAATCCTGCATAATCAATAGGCAAAATATTTTACAGTATAAAATTACTAATTATCCCCAGAAAGTACTCAAATAATTATGTTAGCAATATTCAATACATATGAATCTGAAGACAGTAAATTAGCTATATGAAGAATCATCCATAGAAAGGACAATTAGCTCATGAAGAATCATCCATATATAAGATACTAAACTATGAAGAATCATCCATATATAAGATACTAAACTACCTACACCAAGAATCATCCACAGACAAGACAAACACATCAATTACATCAAGAATCATCCATAGACAGGACACTAAACTTATTAGCCACATCAAATCCAGCTACCAGGTTAACAGCTTTCTCTTTATCACTGGACTTCTCTTTGCTCATCTCCTGGTCAGTTCTAAGTTTTTTTTCTCCTTTTGGCCTTCTTTTTCTTATCTTCTTTGAAAGTGAAGATGGGGAGTCAAAGCAGTTCCCACCGACATAGCTGATTATTAAATCTCTAAACAGTTTAAAAGTGGAAATGACATCTGGGCTTCTATCAAACATGAGAGTCAGGAAAAGATCTGGGTTGGCACGGACAGACAGGTCGGTGTAGAAATTGTAGAGAAATGTGCCGTTGATGAAATCAGCAGGACGTATGGTTGGAAATGGGCGCTGAAGAAGTTTGTTGAGATTGATAGCATCCAGCATACAGGCTTGCAGCTGAGCAAACGCATGAGGCACTTTGGCGGTGTAAAGGTTCTTGTTGTTGAACACAGGGGATTTGGCGTGATACTTGTGCAAGTTCTGTCTGATGTTCTCTAAGTGAACAGTTCTAACTTGTGAACACAGCCGGGCAACACTGACACAGTCAGCATGCAAGCTGGAGAGACCAACATGTGTAGGCTGAGTCTCATGTCTATTATTCTCACAAGTTTTTTTTCCACTGATACTCCCTTCACTCTGCGCATTTATTTTGTCAGTCTGTTCCATCATTTCTAGTTCACAATTTATTCTAGAAAGTTCACTGGCCTGTTGCTGAATTTTCAAACTCTTCTTCTTGTCCTTCTGCTCACTTATTCTTGTTGCTACTTTCCCATCTCTCTGCTCTGTTAATTTGCTGTTTCTTGTCCCATCTCCATTCTCCATCTCATCTCCAGTCTTGGTATTCTCTACTTCTTGTGTTTCATGTGTCCTCTCTGCCAGTGACACACAAACCTGAAGCAATATCACTCCAGCAACAACAGTTTCTAAATGTCCAGGGCTGATTCTGGGACGAACATTGCGAGCCCACATGACCAGGCACCCAGCAAACAGCTGGAGCTCTTCACAAAACCTGGCCATAAAATCCAGGTCAACTCCCAGAGCTGCGGCCAGCACAGACTTCCTCTCAGCTACAGCCATGTTTGGTATGTAGGCCAGGCCTGGCACAGGAACTGTTCCTACACAATAGACAGGCTCAACAAGGTTCTTCAATAAATTCTTCTTTAGCCTGGTATACTCTTCAACACAGAACTCTTTGGTTTTCCTCTCAGCATCCTCTGTTTTTGTTTCTAACACCATTTGACTGTCACAGACTTCAGCTCCAGGCTCCACCTCATTTACAGCCACACAATCTCCTCCAGTATTAGCATCATGTGCACTGTCACATTCTGCAATCACTTCTTTGACAACATCACCACATCCTTCCTTCAGGTCCACTCCAACCTGTCTCTCTTCTGTTCTCACATCACACACCCTTCCATACAAAATCACACTAGCACCCTTTTCACTGGAACTGACATCATGACTTCCCTCATCTAACCTGAAACAATCTGACAGTTTGTGAGTGTTTTTCTGTGCTTGAGAAGTGCAATACACCTGTGAAGGTAACTCCTCACTGCTGCAGTCAATCCCTGGACTACTGTAGGAGATGATTGCACTGCCAGCAGGCTGCTGCTTCAGATCCTCCTGAAGAAGAACACCATACAACACCTGTCTCAAAGCCAAGGAACACTGAAAGGAGGACTCCTGGGACAAATCCTCCACCTGGGTAAGAATGATAACTCTGTGCAGAATAGCACAATTTAATGTAGAAGGGGTTACCTCCCCACAACAAGCAGCTTTAACAAACCAATCAGGAAATACCGTGCCATTGTAGCTACGAAACTCTTCTGCTGCAGTGCAAGGGCATTGTTCTGCATCACCAGTCAGAAAGTGGAAGAGATCAATCCCCTGAAAGTTTTCCACATCCACGTACCCATTGACCGAAGACACAAACATCTTCTCCACCCGCACCTTGCTGCGTGGTTTGATGAACTCCAGCAGTTCAGCCTGAATATCGGAGAATTCGCTGCTGTCTGTCTGTGTGTTGAGCCAGTGTAGCACACTGATCACTTTTGATAATCTTGGAGGCAGGGAGAATTTTTTGGATATCACTTTTGGAACTTTGACCCGGGAGTAAAATGTAGAAAAGGCACTGGCATTAATAAAATCGTTCCCTAGCAAACTTGCAAACACAGGCAGCACTGAACGACTTAAACCATCAAATGAGTTGATGAAGTCATCGACGTGGTATTTGTGACAGTGTAAGTAATGCAACTTGCTTCCGTCAGACTCAACTCTCTCTAAAGTTCGGAAGTCAAGATAATCTAGAGGTAAGAATCCATTATTTAAATCAAAAATGTAAAAATCACTGTCATTGCTGATTACTGGACAGTTTAACTTGTTCGCCAGAACGGCTATCTCATTGTCAGCTTCAAACTGGCAAGTTGCATGGTGAATCCTGAGCTCGTTTAGGGTCTGCATAAATGTTTCATACGCCAAGGCTGGTAACGCTTGTCCCTTCTGATTGTTGGCCATTGTATCGACAAGTTTGATTCGTGCTGAAGCCCTGCTCAGTGAAGTCCTTAGCTTCCTGCCATCCACCGTATAAGCCCCATCCATGATGACATACGCAGTTATCCCACATGTTTTAAATGATTCGAAAGTTGAAATTATTTTTTTCCGATAAACATCGTAGTCTCCACCAAAACTGCACTGCACATGGCAGGTGTAGTAGAGGAAATGGTAGAAATTGTTTCCATCTAGAACTACAGAACAGTCATGTAAGTGATGCTGCTGCAGCAAGTGTTGGTTACTGTCGATGAAACCCGTCAGACCGTGGATACCCATAGTTCCTCTGTTCACATTAATGACAATGACTACAAATCGTGGGCATCTTTTGTGTATCTTTAGATATCAAGGCCACTTACAGCTGAGTCAGCAATCTGTTAAGACAAGGTGAAAACAGGTGTCAGTCCATGATCCATGAATATAATGGGTCAAATACTTACACATTAGGGCAAGTGAGTACAACCAACTGATATTCCAGGATCATCCCTGCTAATGAGGATAATTTACTAAAATATTTCTGGTTTCATCCTGACAAATTAGGATCATTGAATAAATGAGTAATTGACAAGCAGAATGACAACTATACATTCGAGGACATCCTGGTCTTATTCTTACAAATGGGATCAAGTGACAGAGTTTTGTTTTAGGGGTTTTTCTGCCCCAATGAGAGACCAGAATACTTGCGGCTCCTTGAATCAAGCCAAGCCAAGCCCTTATGGTCAGCGTACACACACATAAATGCACATACGCACACACAGAAAGCTTGTAACACAGAGTACAAGTCAGAACCACACAAATGACACAATGATGTCATTGTTGTTTAAAAAAAATTGATCTATCCATCTTCTTCTTGGCCGTCCTCTGTCTCTTGATGTGACCATTCTTGCAACACTAATTTCCAACTGATATATGTTAATGCTGCTCAACATCCAGAGACTGGGAGTATAAAGATACACTGTATACCCTTGTGTCAGTTCTGGCCGAACAAACATTTAGCACGGGGACCTGGGAGGTCAAGATGGTGAGAAAGTGTGGTCAATCAGCGGGTGGTACCCCACCAAATGTATGATTCCTTAACCGAAACAACATCAAAACATGCCGTATGACCTTCTGTGGCTTCACAGACAGCCATGGTGGACAGAGTAGAGAAGCAAAAAACTGTATTTCAAGAAGCACTATTATCACGCAAAAACACCCAACAGGACTTCAAGAAACATCATCCTCACGAACAATAACCAGGTAAAGATTGCAATTATGACCCAAAGCTTTAATAAGCTGGTTGAACATCATTAACTCTTTGAGTCCCAAAGAACGCATCATACGTTCATACCTAGAAGCCCAAAGAACGCATCATACGTTCATACCTAGAAGCCCAAAGAACGCATGATGTGCCTATTTTATTACTTTCTTTACTACCCCCTGGGCCTGTGATGCTAAACCCCCTGGGCCTGTGATGCTAAACCCCCTGGGACTGTGATGCTAAACCCCCTGGGCCTGTGATGCTAAACCCCCTGGGACTGTGATGCTAAACCCCCTAGGACTGTGATGCTAAACCCCCTGGGCCTGTGATGCTAAACCCCCTGGGACTGTGATGCTAAACCCCCTGGGCCTGTGATGCTAAACCCCCTGGGACTCAAAAAGTTAAAACGTTTCTTTCTTTCTCCAAAGGAACAAGCGCAACATTCAGTAGCTCATTAACTGGTGCCTGTGCTCAATAATTAGAATGGCTCTACTTTGAACGGCGCTTTAAAATGGCGGCCATAATATGATGCCACATTCTGGCCATAAAATATCCAAATGGTGTTGTATCTAAAATACGGACTTTGTGCCAAGGGACAAATCGCGGCAAAACTAGGATTACTTGACAATCAATATCAACATTGCACATGGTAGTAGCAGACGATAAATACTGACCGTTGACAATTTCAAGCGTTTCTGCAGACGACGATACTAGCAGACGATATTAGCGACCGTTGACCAATTTCGAGACATTACAGACGATGAAAGCCTATTAGCAATACTGTGTTCTTCCAATGGGAGGATTTAGCAGCGGTAGATGTCAGACTTGTCGGCATGCACCAAACGCGATTAAACTCATTGCCGAGCAGATGGGGGGGGGGGGGGGGGGAGAGGGGGGCTAAACTAGGTGCCTGGGACTCACGAGTAAAGTAACTGGAGGAAGTTGCAGGAGATGCGGTAGCTGCTGCTCGTGAGTCCCAGCCATCTAGTTTAGTCCCCATCCGCGCCGTGAGTAGCTGTGCGGGGGATACGGTCGGCGGTGAGGCACACTCGCAGAAGCAGGTCCGCAAGTAACATATCGCCGAGATCCTGTTAGAGCATTTGTTTCGTTATATGGAGCCGGCACATATATTTTTAATGGAACTGAGCTGCATTTGGATATTTTATGGCCAGAATGGGGCCAATTTAGCTCTCTTTTGAACGGCATCATATTACGGCCGCCATTTTAAGGCGCCGTTCAAAGTAGAGTCATTAGAATTATATAACAGTCACTAATGCCTTACATGGAGCTGAACTTAAATCCCTGTGAATCAACGAGGTGAGGAAATAAAAGGAGTAGAACATACTACATAGAATGTTCTTGCTCTGGAGGGCAAAAGAAGTAGGGGGCTAAACTTATGTAATTTACAGAAGGTACTACGTTTTCTTCGATCGATCGGGCACTTCCGGAAACGGAACGGGCTGGGTTGCTACCCATAACAATGTCCGTAAGTTGTCGGTGAATTTTTTCACGATGATGATTCGTTATACACATTCGGGAAACCTCGGGGATTCCGACGAGCTATATATAGCCCAAGTCAAAGCAAATTGGTTGACTTTCACATTCCTCGTGGTCTGAAAGCATTTGATCGTGTTTTGCTACTGCCGATCGTGTTTGAATATATAGCGGTAAGTAGCCACATTATTTGATAGCGTTCAACGCATTTAAACGTAATATTCTTGTAATTATTCGATTCTCTGTCCAATTTAACTTTAGTTTGTAAAATTTTATTAGTATATTCTATGGGGGTGATTTGCAGTGGGATTTTCAAGATGCGATCCTGAAACCATCGTGGGTGAAGAAATTGGCGTCCATCTTGTTGCTTTAGAATAAGCCTTCAGCGTGTTTTAATTATCGGTAGTTATTTAATATACAGTTATTTTGTAGGCTCTTAAAACTGATTAAAACTGTGAAATGTATTTTTATCATCCATAATTAAGTCTATTTAGTCAGTTTACACCCAACGACGTGATAGGGGAGATATACAGAAATGGTTTTTAATTAAATCAGACTATCTGAGGCGAAAAAGGAAAAGGCCATTTTGTTACTTTTTGTGGAAGGCGTTACTGCAGTTACCATAACAACAGCTGTCTTTTATGTGGTATTTATTTTAAGAAGTTATATTTATTCTTAATACAGATAATGCATTATCAATATTTTTATAGTTATGTTATAGTATTTAATTATTAAATTTGAAATTTTTTTTAAATAAATATTTTAAATGATACATGATATAATTATTATAATTTAATGAATTTATTATTATAATTATATATATATATATATATATATATATATATATATATATATATATATATATATATATATAGTATAGTACAATAATACATACATACAATACATATATTTAATTATATATATAAAATATACTACACACTATGTGACACATACAGTTAATAGATGTAAAAACAATGTAATTACTATTACAATATTACACCACCCCCCTCCTTTTCCCATATGATGTTGCATACGCATATAATATGCTTATATAAATATTACTTTCTTACACAGCTCACCATGGAAAATAAAACAGCTTCTGATATGAGAGCATATCTGTCATCCTTTGAGCCAGAGTACCCAGTTAAGAAAGGCTATATAGCCCGACTGATTGTAAATGAGAAATTGACAACTGTAGATATTTGCAGGATGATCAAGGGCATGGTGCAGGTAGCTGAACCAGACAAGCAGATACATGAGGGGAGAGTGAAGGCGTGTATAAATGATATTAAAAGAAATGCTGCCAAAAAAAATGAATTACACCAAGCAGTGGGCTGATCTCATCAGTTTTAACCAGCAGCCATTTTTTGTATCCTTTTTGTCTGGAGAATCATTAAGTTCTTCTTCTGCAACATCTACATCAGTTGTGCAGCCTGACCATACATGTGCACCACTCATACAAACTGATCATTCATCCCCACCACTAATTCAGCCAACTGATCATTCATCCCCACCACTCACACCTGTGACACCAGCTGACCATACAACTGATCATGCGCAACACACTTCTGCAACACCATGGATTGACGAGTTACCCTTTAACTCCATTCATAATCATAATGTTTCATTTTCTGTTTCACTGATCTCCAGGTCACCATCACCAAAGCGTTTAAAAAAAAGACTGTGACAACTGTGTAGCTAAGCAACGGACAAGTCTGAACATGCTGAAGGAGAACAGGCACTTGCGTTTGCAGATAAGAGCACTTAGAATTCGACATAGAGAGGAAAAGAAACAGATGTCACTGAAAACATTGAATTTGACAATAAAGAGGAAATCGGCATCAGCTGAACTTTGGAGAGTCAAACATTCAAATTTGAACAAACAGTTCCAAGAACAGGAAATGCGGCACAGGAAAAAGGAAATGTCAATTAAAGCAAAACACGAGGAAGAAATAAAGGAACTGACAATTGCCAAAGGAATATTAGAAAGCAAACTGAAGCAATCTGAGAAAAAAATCACTGATTTGGAAAAGAGGAACAAGCAATCGAAAGAACAGTTTTGTGAAATCCAAAAGAAGATTAGCAGTGAATTAGACTATGTAAAAACCAGACTGCAAGAGGAGACAGATCGAAGTAAATACTGGGAAAACGAAGCAGTGGAACAGGCAGATTCTAAGGAAGACAGTGAAGACAGTGACAACATTGTTACAACAAAAGAGGCAGGGAAGTATGATTATAGATTTAGGCAGTGTGTTTATGACTTTTTAATGTGTAATGTTAGTGTTGGGAATATTTCTCGTTTGTTGTCTTCTGTTGCAGGGATAATTTTTGGTAAAGTTTTTTCTCAGATTCCATGTGTGACTACAATAGCACAGATGGCTTACGAACTCGGGGTGCTTGCTAGCATTCAAGCTGGCCAGATGCTGCACGAGTGCGATCTCATCACATTAGCCTGGGATTCCACAACAAAGGCAGGTATACATTATAACGAAGTTCATGTGTCCCTCAAAACAATACTAGGTAGGCAATCATTAACTCTCAATAT